ACGAGGGATGGGAGGAGTGGGGGGGAACTAAACAGATAAGTGGTAACTTTGGTGAAGGGTAAGACAGTACACATTACTGGGGAAGCCAGCACAACTTGTACAAGGAAAGGTCATGGAAGCTCCATAGACACTTCCAAACTCCCTGAGGGACTGAATTGCTGGGCAGAGGGCTGTGGGGACCACGGTCTCAGGGAACATCTAGCTCAACTGGCATAACACAGTTTAGAAAGACAATGTTCTACATTCTACCTTGATGAGTAGCATCTGGGGTCTTAAAAGCCTGTGAGAAGCCATCTAAGATACTCTACTGGTCTCACCCCTTCGGGAGCAAGGGAGAATGAAGAGAACAAGATACAAGGAAAAGATTAGTCCAAAGGACTAATAGACCACAGCTACCACGGCCTCTACCAGACTGAGTCCAGTACAGCTAGATGGTGCCTGACTACCACCACTGACTGCTCTGACTGGGATCACAATAGAGGGTCCTGGACAGAGCTGGAAACGGATGTAGAACAGAAGTCTAACTCACAAAGAAAGACCAGATTTACTGGCCTGACAGACTGGAGAAGCCCCGAAAGTATGGCCCCTGGACACCCTTTTAGCCCAGTGGTGAAGCCCCTCCCGAAATTCACCGTTCAGCTGGGGACTGGACAGCCTCATGAAACAAAACAGGACTAATGAGGCACAGCAGTCCAGGGACAAGGACTGGAAGGCAGAAGGGAAGAGGAAAGCTGGTGATAGGGAACCCAAGGTTGAGAAGGGAAAGCATTGACATGTCGTGGGGTTCTTAACCATTGTCATGGGGCAATATGTGTACTGTTTAATGAGAAACTACTTGTTCTGCAAACCTTCATTTAAGGTAGGAAAAAAAAAAAAGAATTATCTATGTGAGATCAAATTGACAACAGCAACTCAAAAGGTTTGATGAGAAGCCTAGGGGACACTGAGTTGAAGATAACGGTGATGGAGTAATTTGGAAAAGGATAGTGAGAATAGTAGCACAACTGGAAGAATGTGATCGATGTCACTGAATTGTACATGTAGAAACTTTCAAAATGGTGTAACTTTGGCTATGTATATTTTAACCAAAAAAAAAAGGTCCTCAAGGTCGAGAAGGGAGAGTGTTGACATGTCGTGGGGTTGTTGACCAATGTCATAAAACAATATGTGTACTGACTGTTTAATGAGAAACTATTTGTTCTATAAACCTTCATCTAAAGTACAATAAAATTTTTTTTAAAAAAAACCAAAAAACAATTAATACACATATTGTTTTGTGACATTGGTTCCAACCCCACAAGTCAACACTCTCCCCTTCTTGACCTTGGGTTCCCAATTACCAGCTTTCCTATCCCCTCCTGCCTTCTTGTCCTTGCCCCTGGGCTGGTATGCTCATTTAGTCTCGTTTTGTTTTATGGGTCTGTCTAATGTTTGGCTGAAGGGTGAACCTCAGGAGTAACTTCATTACTGAGCTAAAAGGGTATCCAGGGGCCATACTCTTGGGGTTCCTCCAATCTCTGTCAGATCAGTAAGTCTGATATATATATACACACACACACACATACACACACACACACATATATATATATACACACACATATATATAAATATACTTTTTGAGTTAGAATTTTGTTCTACATTTTTCTCCAGCTCTGTCCGGGACCCTCTATTGTGATCCCTGTCAGAGCAGTGGGTGGTGGTAGCCAGGCACCATCTAGTTGTGCTGGACACTTTATATTCAATTCTTGAGTACACTAGGGTGGTGTGAAAAGCATACCAAGAAATATTTTTATAGAATAAATGTATGAAAACCCAGCTCAACAAATACTGTATACATCTATAATACCACTATATATGTCTGCCTTCCAAAAACCTAGAGTATAATGTATACATGCCACTTTAATAAAGGAAATGATTTACATAAAAGGAAATAATTGACATAATAAGGCTATATAGTCCTAGAGAGGTAACAGAGATGACCTGAAGAGATTTCATGGAGAATACTAGCTGAGACTTAAAAGAAACTTGTAGGTTAGTGCATAAACAAAGGTATAGAGGGAGACAGATAAAAAACAGGAGCTAGGTAATAGTCCATTCGAATGGAAAATTTACCTGTTATTCCTTCATTCCAAAATACTCTCCTCCTAGACATTTACATAACTCTCTCATCATTTCAGATCTCTGCTGAAATTTCAGAGGCTTTTCCTGGCTACGCTGTTAAAAATAACACCTTCACACTCTGTTAGAAACTAATAATTATATGTTACCTCAACCTCTCCAACAGCACTCCCTGCCCCGGCACCCAAGTTTTACTTGGGCACATAGTCAAACCTTCCTTATAGCTAGGTGTGACCATATGAATAAGAGCTATCCAATAGGAGGTGAGTAAAAAGTATGTGTCAAACTTTCATGCTCTTGAATTCCACTTTCTCCCATAAGTAGTTAGATCCAACCATACGGATGAAGACTATACCCTAAGTGATTGCACAACAATGAGATGAACCCAATTCCATAGATGACCTTGTGTTTTGCGACTGTACTTCTAAATCAGGGGCCATTTCTATAAAGGGTCAGATAGTATTTTACACATAATGGGACAAATGGTCTGTTTCAGCTACCCAACTCTGCATTGTAGTGTGAAAGCAGTCATAGACATTTAACAAATGAGCATGACTATGTATAAAAAGAGGCAGTGGGCCAGAATTGGTCTGGAGGCCACAATTTACCAACCCCTATTCTAAAATCTAGACTTAAAGAGAAATAAGTATCTGTCTTTTTTGAACCACTGTATTTTGGGTCTCTTTGTTACAGAAGCTTAGTCTAAGCCCTAACTTATATATACCCCAATCATTACCTATCTTCTTTCTCTTATTCTGTTGTATTCATAACACATTTTACTACTTGACAGCATATTACATTTATTTAACTCCTGTCTTCCTTTTAAAATGTAAATTCCAAGAAGGCAGGGGCTTTGGTTTACTACTCTATCTTCAGTGATAAAACAATAGAGGGCCCATAGTATTTGTTGACTAAAAGAATGAAAAAAAATTGGATAGGAGTAGAGAAAGTGGAGTAGATAAAGCTAGGAGGAGAACTGGAGGTCTTGAATGCCCCCAATGAAGAGCATGAACTCTGTTCCACAGGCAACGGGAAGACAGTGAGGATTCCTGAGAAAGAAAGTAATATGGTCGAAATGGTACTTTTAGAAGAATCACACTGAATAAAACATATTACAGTAATATAACTATCAAAGCCTAGACACAATGAGAGTCTGCCATACCAGGTACCTCAGAAATAAGAAGGAAAGGCTGAAAGATAAGGAAAGGCTGAAAGATATGACTTGAAACATAACTGGAAGATGAAGTCTAGAAGGATGAAAATGACCCCTTATCCAGGATGACTTGGAATAAAAAAGTTTCTTGAAAAACAAAATCAGGCAGAAAAATAAATTCTGGGGGGAAAATTAGTTCTGTTTTAAACACGTTGGACTCAAGTTGCTAGCAAGAACCAGATCTTATCTAGATATAAAAATACAGCTCAAAAACATAGCTCTAAGAATCATTCAGAAAAGTTAAGGAAGAGAGAGACTTTCCAAGGAAGAATAAAGAATGAGGACTGTTAAGACAACAGTGAAAACTTCCTGTATTTCAAGAGTAGGAAGAAGCAGCATTAAAGACAGAAGTAGTTAAAAGTAGAATACAACGTTAAGAAAACCAGTAGAACGGAACACTAAGAGTGGTGACTGCAGAAGTTAGAGGAGAAGCTAAAAAAGAAAGGTCTTTGGATGTGGCAATTTAGAGCCTGGATATAAGCTATGAAATAGCTAAGCTGGGATAGTGGTGGTGGGAACAGAAGCCTGATTACAAGAAGAATTGAAGAGGAAATAGAACGGGGACACAAGAAAGTTAAATTAGATTTTTGGTGAAAAGGAGAAAAGGAAAAATAAGTTGAAGAGTTAAAGGTCAATTTAAAAGATGTTTTTAAAATGAGGAGTCTTGGGCCATGTAAATGGAATTGTTATAACACAATATAACAACTCACACTTATATAGTGCTTACTTCGTGCCAAGCACTATCAGTCCTTCACATATAGTAAATAATTTCATCCTCAAAACAACTCTATAAAGTAAGTATCAAGCGTTCCCATTTACAGATGTTGAAACTGAGGCACAGAGGAGTCAAGTAACTTGCTCAAGGTCACACATCGGTAAGTAGAAGGGCTTGGATTTAAAATGGAAACATCCTAGCTTCCAAATCTGTACCCTTATACAGAGCAACTAAAGATACAACAAAAAGGGGTATAACTGATTACATCTGGTACTAAAGAAGACTGGACAATAATGAGTTCAAAATTAAAAACACAGATTTACTTGGAATGAGTGGTAGACTTTCTTGTTTGAAATAGGGAAAAAGAGGTAGAGGACAGGAGGTAAAGGGAGGAAAATTTAAATGGATTCTATTGTCTTACTTAAACAAGCAGTAGAGTTTAATAGTTAAAAGCATAGGGTCAGAAATCAGACTTATAGTTGAATGTCACCTTTAGTAATTATTATACTGTGAGAACTTGGGCATGTTAGTTAATCTTGTTAAGCCTCAGTTTTCAAATCAGTAACATGTAGGTAAAACATTTATTTCATAAGGCATTGTAATTAAATGCGTTTTGCACATATAACACGTAATATAAGGTCTGTTATAATTCCTTAATAAATGGTAACTATTTTTAGGTGGGAATACTGAGTCCCCACACTTGTTTCCATATGAAAGAAATTCAGCCAGGTCTTTCCTTCACCCACCATTCATTCCTCCCTACAGGAGGAAGCATATTATCTGATTGATAAGCCAAGTGCTTCCTCTCTTCAGATCCATCTGCCTGCAAGGAAGTGCTCTTTCATTTGCTCTCTAGCATGCAATAAGGAATCTGGCTCACACTGTCTCCAGCAGAGTCAATAAATCCATCTAGTCCAACACCCATGGAAGCAGCAGTCAAGAAATCAAAAGACGCATGGCATTGGGCAAATCTGCTGCAAAAGTCCTCATTAAGAGGAACAGGAGTCCAGTGACAAGGGCCAGAAGGCAGAAGGGGACAAGGAAGCTGGTGTTAGGGAACCCAAGCTTGAGTAAGGATATTGTTAATGTGTTGTGAGACTGTTAACCATTGTCATACGGCAACATTCGTAGTAACTGTTAAATGAGAAACTATTTTGTTCTGTAAGCCTTCATCTTAAGTGAGAATAACAGCACAACTGGAAGAGCGCAGTCAATGTCACTGAACTGTGCATGTAGAAATTTTTGAAATGGTGTATCTTTGGCTATGTGTATTTTCACCAAAAAAAAAAAAGGTTGAGAAGTTAGAGGGTTGATATGTTGTGGGGTTGTTAACCAATGTCATAAAACAACATGTGTACTACTGTTTCATGAGAAACTATTTGTTCTGTAAGCCTTCACCTGAAGTACAAAAAAAAAAAAAAAAAAAAAAGTCCTCGTTAAAGTGTTGAAAAGCAAAGATGTCACCTTGAAGACTAAGGTATGCCTGACCCAAGCCATGGTGTTTTCAACTGGCTCATATGCATGTGAAAGCTGGACAATGAATAAGGCAGACCGAAGAAAAACTGATGCCTTTGAATTGTGGTGTTGGCAAAGAATATTCAATATACCATGGACTGCCAAAAGAATGAACAAATCTATCTTGGAAGAAGTACAACTGGAATGCTCCTTAAAAGCAAGGATGGCAAGACTACATCTCACATACTTTGGGCACGTTATCAGGAGGGATCAGTCCCTGGAGAAGGACGTCACCATTGGTAAAGTAGAGGGTCATCGAAAAAGAGGAAGACCCTTAAAGAGATGGACTGACACAGTGGCTGCAACAATGGGCTCAAGCATAACAACACTGTAAGGATGGCGCAGGACCAGGCAGTGTTTCATTCTGTTGTACACAGGGTCGCTATGAGTCAGAACTGACTCAACGGCACCTAACAACAACAACAACAAGTTCTGGGGACAGTTAGCTAGCTTTTTTAAACACAGAACTAAGTAACATTGTCCCACTGATTTTATCAACATTAAACCTGGTACTTTGATCTTCAGCTGTCTCACTTTTACATCTATCTCTGAAATGGTTCTGAATTCTGCTGGTAAACAGAAATATTATACATTGATAACTCCTAAAAACTCCACAGAAAGTATTATTCTATTGTAGACCAGTCATTTATTTTCAACTATACCTAGAATGTAGTCCACATTTTAATAAACAGATATATTTCTTACCCTGATTATAACTTGTACCACATCAAAGTCTGAAACATCATCTAAAATTGGTTGGGTATTCTCTGGTCCATAAGCAAGGCAGTTAAATAAGGTTTTAGAAAAGAAACCAGGTGAAGGACCACCATGAACCAAAGAAATGGCAAGCATTTTACCAGCTTCATAGTAAAGATTCTCTTTCAGAGCTGTAAAAACAGAAATATATCGAAAATACTTATTATAAGATCATAATTTTTAATGAATACATAAAAATTAAAAACAGAAAAACAAAGCATTAAGTGTAAAATAACATAATTCTCAGAAGCTATTACCATGCACAAAATATAATCTCCTAAAATATACAAAAAATGTATTTTTTCTAAATATAATCATCCTATCATAGAAAAAATATAAATACAGAAAACCTTTAAAGTATCACCTATAATTCTACCATCTTAATAACCACTGTACACACTTTGGCATATTTGTATCTACGTGCACACAAAGTTTCACTTCAGCTTTTTTCCTACTTACTATGCTGTAAAGTTTTTCTTAAATTATTCAAAAGTATTCAAGTTCACAACTAACAAATGCATTAAGGTTAACTCATATATGTAATGTAATTTAAGCCATTCTTCTATTGTTGGTTATCCGGGTTGAGTACATTTTCAGCTATGTAATATATAATGTTACAACAGATTCCTACATATGGTACTAGTGGGTCAAAGTATATGAACATTTTTAAGGTTGCTGATACATATTGCTTTATTATCTTCCAAAAAAGCACAGATTTACTATCTTAGCACACCCTCACAGCTTTAAATATTTAAACTGTTATTTAAAATTTTTTAGCTACTTCGATAGATCTAAAAGACATTTAAATTTTTCTAATAATTAATCAAAAACAATTTAATAAAATCTCTGCAACAATAACCTTATTAGCTACAAATTAGTTGTCACATTTTACAGATGAAGAAACTGAGATCCAGAGGGGTTAAGTGCATAATTTAAAGACAGAAAGCTACTGACGTAGACGTGCACAAACCTGGATTCAGGTTTTGTTAACTTAAATTCTTGTGCTCTCCACTGTACCAAAGCTGCTTTGAGTTAACAATATTGTTAGGAGGGCTTTTAAAAGGGAGTTTATAATCAAACTGTGTGTACTGTACATAGTATACATAATCCTTGATAATTTCTCAATTATTTTGGTGATGCTTCAAGTAATGAGGAAGTTCTAGGGAATATAAATAATAAAGGAAGTTCAAATGGAATGAAATAAGCTTTCTTTTCTTACACTCTTCCAAATTTCCCATTGCAGCAAAGGTGGTATAAAAGCTACTAGAAAAGAATGCTAGAATTACCCACTGTTTTGAAACACCTGTTTTAATTGCATAATTCTTCACTACATATAGAAAAGTATCATATAGATAACTGTGTACAGAATATTCTTAAAAGCAAAAGCACACTAAAAAATCTGTCATGTATGGACTGGAACACTATGTTATAAAAATCCTATGTTACAAAGGAACATGCCAACTGTAAATTTCAAATATATGAACATGAAGAATTCAAATAATCACCCACCTCATTTAGCCACTCTATTCAAATGAAATTAGAGAGTGAAAATCAAGTATATTTAAATAAAGTTACACTTGATTATGGGAACATTTTAAAAAGGATACTGTATACAGAAATTATGAATAGTCTTAAACAAATGTTTTACCACAAAGTTTACTTTATTACAAAATCGTTTTCCCCCCTTTTCTGTGACTATCAGTATTTTAGTAATAAAGTGATAGATTTACACCAGAGGTACTGAATATCAATTCTAACCAGATATTTATTTCTTTACACATGCTATATTCAGTAAGTACAATAATAAATGAAATAATTACCTTGAGAATTAAGAGATAAGTTCTTTGACAAGGACCCTTCAAACAATGATGAGTTCTCAAGATGTTGCATTAAGAGACTTAGGAATTCTTGCTTTGATCCAGGATGCTCTCTTCCAAACTTATCATTTTCATTAATATATGCTACTTCAATTGTGAATGAAGGATTAAAGTTCTGATTTTTTAATCCATCTAAGGCACTATTCCATATATTGGCTTTGTTGATATACAGTTTTTTAGGTTTTTTTTTAATTTGAAAACCTATCTCTATTAATATAGTTGAAATTTCTCTTCTAAATTTGCTGCCTTGCCTATAAAACATGAATTTAAACATACAGGTAAGTACTCTAAAGTACTTTATGTGAAACAGTAGCATACAGCCAATAAAAAAAAAAAAGAAAAAAAGATTAAAAGGAAGTTCTTCCCTGACTCCCACCCCAAAACAGAACAATGGCTGCCACTGGAACCAAAAAGTTATCTGATAACCTTACTTTTAAATTCTTCATTCCCTCTCCTCAAACTTCTACCAAATTAGGATCACCAAATATCATAAAGGAGCCCTGGTGGTACAGTGGTTAAGCACTTGGTTGCTAATCAAAAGGTCAGCAGTTCGAACCCACCAGCTGCTCCATAGAAGAAGGATGTGGCAGTCTTCTTCTGTAAAGATTACAGTCTTGGAAACTTTATGGGGCAGTTCTACTCTGTCCTATAGGGCTTGCTATGAGTCAGAACTGACTCAACGGCAACAGGTTTGGTTTTTTGGTTAATGTCATAAATCATTTATGAGAATGTTGACAATGATTATCTCAAATTCCATCAATTCAGTTCAGGTTTAAGAGTCAGAAGCTGAAACGCTCACGTTTCTGGCCGGTGGCTGTAACGAACTTGCTTAACTGTATCTTGTTATTATGTTCATTCACTACAGTTTTAAAAACAAGAGCAAATGTAATCTCTGCTTACTATATATGAGAATTATGGTGTTGAGAGATTCCACAATGTATTTTTATTCATAAAGTTAATTAAAAGTAGAGCCAATACTGTAAGCAGAATTCACAATTCCTTATAATAAAGAATACTTTCTTATAAAGAATACTTTTTATTCTAGATGAGTAATTCTCAAAGAGTGGTCCCCAAACCAGAAGCAGCAGCAGCAGCATCACCTTGGAACTTGTTACTGATGCAAATTCTTGAGCCCCATTGCAGATCTACACAATCAGAACCTCTGGGTCCAAGGCTTAGCAATCTGTTTTATTAAGACCTCCTGGTGATTGCGTGGACTAGTGCAGTTACTCCCTGCCTCAGTTTCTCCATCTGTAATTGGAACTAAAGTGCTCAGAATAATCTTGTTTTGGGTAAAGTTCATGGATCATCTTTCTTATATCAAGTATAAATTTGTCTCATCCCAAAATATACAATTCCCCAGTGTGGGTTAGGTTTTTCCTTTTCTTTCTTCCCATGATCCCCTACTCATGAATCCAGACTGAAGAAAAACAAAAGTCTTTTGGAAGTAAGATAATCTTATAGAAATATACTTTCTTCTGGCAGGTGAATTCCTTCTTCCTGCCCAGATCAGTAAGAACTCCGATGCTACTCTTCTAGAATATGATGGCATGTTACAGTAGAAGCAAGGAGTCAATCTTTACTGGTGTAACAACTTTGGAAAGCTAAACACTAACGTTTTTTAAAAATGTGAACATTTCTTTTTTTGATATTAAAATGTAAAAATACAACAAAATTTTCAGTTCTGAGTTAACAAAAGTAGCACTTTAAAAACAGCAATTCTTCACTTTTTAAACAGTTCTTAATATTCCATCTCTGTCTGGAAATCCAGTTATCAAATATTTTCACAAAATTCGCCTTGCCTTCTTCTAGGTTTTTTAACTTGATACCATTTTTAATAAGAAAATACTTAACCATGCTTCAGCTACTAATGTTACTTTTGTCCTTTTTTTCCCTTACTGGGTAAAGCAAGGCTGCTAGAAACTCTTTTGCAAAGCCACATATACTTAAAAATCATAACTCCACCTGAATGAATACCTGACACAGTACAAAGAAGTGACTCCAGTCTCAATTAAATGCTTATGAATGATCGCAAACATTACCTATTTTACTATCTTATTGAAATAGTTAGAAATTAATGTGGTAATACTTATAAAAACACCTTAAAAACCTTCTAAAGGAAAGAAAGAGCTGACATTTAGATCTGACACTGAAAGTAAATTTATTAAATGATTACAACATCAAGAAATAAAGTATCTCTTTTAAATATGATTTTTTCCTTTTAATAAAGTGACATGGAATACTTGATATTTTAATTTCCTGTCTTACTCTATAATCAAATAACAATTTAAATGCATTTTTCAGATTAGTGTTTTTCAAACTATCTTGAAAACGGTCTATAACAGAAACGTCTATTTTACATCACAACTCAGTACAAAATAACACAAATTTCACATTCATACACACAAATGTAACATACAATCCTCCTACGTGTACTGCAATCTGATATTTTGCATTCTATTCTATCCCATTTCATTTCCTTTTTTAAATGCTGGCTGCATTGAGCTCATGATCAAATGTTGAATCTTAAAGTTTGAAAAACACTATTCCAGATAATTGTAGGATCAGCTAATATTGTAAGTAATTTCGTGTTGTAATTTTCTCTAGAGAGATGTTTATATTTTTCTCCAATTCATAAACATACCTCAGCAGATCTTTACTCTGAGCTCCAGGTGACTGTTTGAGTAACTTAGGTGAGGACTCTTCCAATAAACAATCATTAATGCCCATGCTATTTGAATTGGGTAGAGCATGTTTTTTGGCTTTTTGGAAATCTCCTGCAGATTTAAACCCTAATGTTAGTGTAACAGAAATATAGATAGAAATTTTTAAATAATGTATTCCAATAAAACATCCTTATTCAAAATTATGAAATATTACCTGAATTGTAGATAATACTTCTACATTCCAAACACTCCCAATTCTGTTCCCATGATCGTAGTGAGGAACAGGCTAAGTGTGTTCCACTAGAACCACAGCACTGACAGCGCTTTATTTCCCATTTGCTGAGGAAACAAGGAAAAGCAGGTGTTTACAGTTTAGCATCAACTTAGTCTAATGCCAACCACAGTACCACCACAGACCCTGCTCCCCACCATGCACACAACCAATTCTTTTACCAAAGGAGGGAAAATAGATTATCTGCTTTAAAACTGTTTTTTTTTTTCCCTAAGAGTCTAAACTAACTTAATAGTAACATGTACGTGCACATGCACAAACACAAGTATAAACATCAGGAAGAATATGATTAAGAGGGAGAAAAAAATTTCCTTTGTATTTGGAGATGACTATGCTCACAGGGAGATTGCTGTGTCAGTGTATGTGATATAGAAGAAGCATTTAGTAAATACATGATCATATCTAAAATATTCCCATTCAAGGTGAGAAATATTTCCTAAAATAAGCTTACTCAGACACCTCAGGTATTGTGCAGCTCCAAAGAATCCAGACTTCCTATCTGGTTCATATACATATTCTCTCAACTGTTCCCCCTCTCCATGTTTCCCCACTGTGGTGTGTGCCAGATCATACTCACATTTTCTGTTTGGGTATGGGTATGGGTATGGGCTGCGGTGTGGGGCTCTTTCTTTGTGTGGATATAAGTCCACCCTTTGTGTATAGGAATGGATATAGTTCTTTCAGTGTGGGGATATGTAGGTGGGGAGAAAGGTAGGTAGTTGCCCCATCTCTGGAAGGTGCAGGCCTATCCTCCTCCCTCTGTGTGGGTATGGGTGGGTAGGCATGTATCCCTGTGTGTATCTCTCCATGTGTGTGTCACCCACTCTTCTGCAGACAGTTCTGTCCAATGATGAGAGGAGGAAGATGACAGCTAACATGAGGGCTTATTATGCACAGGTCCAGTTGTCATTCTTTTCATAATTTCAGTAGATAGGAAGAATCACTAATTACCCTCATTTTAAAGACAAAGAAACCAAGGAACAGAAGGGTAAATATCTTGCCCAATCAAGTTCACAGCCTCAAAGTGAGGGTTCCATCCCAGTTTATCTGGCTTCAAACCCTCACCCCTAACCACTACATCAAGTTGTCACTCATTGAAATTGCCTTCCTATCACTAGGGCGAGAGGGAGGAAGATTACAAAGAAAGTATTCAGATAACAGAAGTCCATGTCCAAAAAGAAAAGGCAAGGACACCAAAATCAGAAAAAGGTGCTTCCAGAAAGCAATTTTTTATAGTTACTGGTTGGCTAACCAGTGGTATATGAGAAATATACATAGGTTAATGAAGAACTGCCTAAAATGAATTTAGAAAATATCGATATTAACGAGTATACTGCTTCCTAGAACGCTAAGGCACTTTATCACTTACAAAGCACATTTATATACAGTATTAAACCTGTGCCTCTGCACAACCCTTGAGGAGGAAATTATTAACGTTTACAAAATAATTAGGGTCACCAAATCAAGTAATGTGGGAAGGAACACACAGTACTTGACACCCTCAGTGAGATCTCAATCCTTGAAGACTTTTTAATCTACTGGCAAAGATAAATTTAAGTAATTTCAATTATACTGTAACAAGCACAATAAAGGAGGCACCAAGCCCAGACTAGAGGAGCTCTGGTGGCACAGTGGTTAAGTGCTCAGCTGCTAACCTAAAGATCAGTGGTTCAAACCTACCAGCTGCTTTGTGGGAGAAAGACGTGGCAGTCTGCTTCTGTAAAGATTTAGAGCCTTGGATTTATGGTTCTACTCTGTCCTACAGGGTCACTATGAGTCGGAATTGACTCAACGGCAATGGGTTTGGTTTTGAACCCAGACTGGGGAATCAGGAGTTGGAAGATCCGCGTAGGGGAAACTTCTAAAAGCTGACAAAATCTCAGCTGAGTCTTCACAGATGACCCAGCCAAATCACTCTCCATGTGAAACAAGGCTCCCAATATTCTGCTGGAAGTTCATGTCCACCCTGAGGTGACTCAAAAGAAAGGCCTGGTGATCTATTTCTGAAAAATCAGCCACTGAAAACCCTATGGAGCACAGTTCTACTATGATACACATGGGGTCACTATGAGTTGAAATCAATTTGATAGCAACTGTTTTTTTTTTTTTTTTTTTTTTTGGTAAGCAAAACTGAACTTCCAGAAATACCTATTAGGTGCATTATATTCTCGTCCTTCTTTGCAACGACATCGCCGGACATCACAACGCTCATAGTGCTGCAAAAGTTCTTGGTAAGCATTTTCCTCTAATTCCCAAGATGCATCTCTGTAAATGAATCAACATACTAAAATATACTTCGAACTAAAATTTTACATACAATGAAAGATAATGAATCTCAAAGTATAAACATTTCACATAGTTAGAAACAAAGATAAAACTTACTCTTTTTAGGATCACTCATTCCCTTCAAGATATAAATCCATTAGTGTCACTCTATCCTAGAGTTGAATAACTGAGAATTCACAGTGAATTTTCAAATGCTAAATGCAAAATTACATAGAAATTTTGTAAAACTTCTATTTTCTCTAATATTTCACTTCTTTTTTTTTTACTTCGAGTGCCATTATGCCTTGATTCCTCATTTTTAAACATAAGAAAATTCTTCTCATACACTTGAAACCATATCTTCATTGTCTTAGATAATTTTACATACTATTTTGAAGCCTATCATAACTGTGTATAAGTCAATTAAAATTATGCACAGCTGAAGTACTTATTAAGAGACTATAAATCAATTCATTAGACACTGAAGTCACAGTCTCTGCTCTCAAAGAACTAGTATCCTGGGGGTAAGGGGAGCCTTTACATTTCACCATTTGAAATGGTTACCTGTTCATGATCACTTAAACATAAATGATTACTTTCTCTTTTATCAAAGCCAACATTTAAAATACATGTCTGGCAGAAGGCTAAAGGTTACATACTTTTCAGGAATATGAATTCCCATTCTCAACATCTCTTGCTGAAATATATCACTGTTGTTGCATATTGTGCACCGAAAGAAAAACACTCCTGCATTTATTGCTTGAACCTACAGTGGAAAACAGAAAGGCCACTGTTAAAATTTTAAATCTTTTATCAGATTATGGATTGAATAACTAACAAAACGTGCTATTATTCACTTAACGTATTATGTAAATCTATTTTCAATTCCAGTAGTTCTCAAACTTTGTTCTTATAGATTGCTGTACCACTACTAAAATTCAGAAATCTTTTTTTCCTAATGGCAAAAAAAAAACCAAAAATAACCTCATGAATACAGTGTTCTTAACTTTGTATGTATCACCCATATTTCTCAATTCCTGGCACCTAATGTCATCTGTTCCCAAATATTGTGTTGCCCACCATATGCTCTAAGTAAAACAATAAAAATGTTGAGTTAATTCATCTAGGAAAGATGTTTAAATAAATGTTACATATAAAGCATCCCTGTTTCTATTTTTAACTCGATCTGTAAGATAGTTTTCTACCCATAAGGACAGAAGTATAAAACCCAGTCTCACTGTTAGAGCAAATATAAATACAGAAGCAGCAAACAGCGGTATTCAGAAGGAAACAAACAAATTAAGTCTATTAGAAAGAGCAGCTAGTCACCAATAAAAAAACCTGTGGCATATACTTATTTAACAGATATTTAAGCCCTACTAGGTCACTATGGGAAACGCTGGTGGTGTAGTGGTTAAGAGCTCGGCTGCCAACCACAAGGTTGGCAGTTCAAATCCACTAGGTGCTCCTTGGAACCTCTATGGGGCAGTTCTACTCTGTCCTATAGGGTTGCTGTGAGTTGGAATCAACTCAGTGGCAACGGGTTTGGTTTTGTTTTTTTTAGGTCGGTATTGAGAACCCTTGGTGGCACAGTGGTTAAGTGCTCAGCTGCTACCAAAAGGTGGGTGGTTCTTCCCACCAGCCACTCCACATGAGAAAGGTGTGACAGTCTGCTTCCATAAAGATTTACAGCCTCAGAAACCCTATGAGGTGGTTCCACTCTGTCCTATAGGGTTGCAATGAGTCAGAATAAACTCCACGGCGATGGGTCTGGTTTTAGGGTTTAGGCTGCTATGAGTCAGAATCAACTTGATGGCACCCAACACAACATTTACAGTGGCAAACACCTCACTATATACCAAAACATAGAAACATACAGTAACCTACACCCTACCTCAAAGGAATTTTAGTGAGTAGGCATGCCATTGTACACACAGTTATAATGTATTGGTACAAGTGCTTCTCAAAAACGTATATATATACATGAAAGATAAAAGAACATCTACGTAAGAGCCGCACAAAATGGCTTTGGTAAGGCCAAAGCGAAGTTTGGAAGAAGAAATAGGGGTTTGCCAGAAAAACAGGACAAAAGACATTCCAAGGACAGGGAATAATATATATAAAAGGACTCAGTGGCAAGAAAGGGCACATACGATTAGGGAACTACAATTCGTAGTGTACCTAGGGATTACATTCTGACAATACTGAACTAAGTAATGAAGGCTAGATAGATAAATCAAAGATAGTAGTGTGAAGAGTGAACTGCAAGATCAGTAGGTAGGCTCTTGCAAAAGTCAAAAAATAAGCATCTGAAGTTAAGCAGCAAGAGTAGGATAAAACTTAAAAGTATATACACAAAATATTTATCAGGTAGAACAGGCTTGGTGAATGATTTTTGGATGGTAAACAGAGAGGTGATCAAACAGTAATACAGGTTCAAACAACTAGTAAATAGCACATTCATACAGCGTATAGGAAGAAAAGGTTACTGAAATCTCTGAATCTAAAGGGATGTTTGAGCAATTGCAGATAGACACTGAGATCTTAATGAATAAAGGACATAATGAAAGGAACTGTCTAGAAGGAAAAAAAAGCCTAAGACACGTGGAAGATACCAACAAGACAATGATGGAGAAATCCAAATTGAACAAGAATAGTGACAATTACCTAGATAGACAGAGCTAAAAGTTTTTACCAATTTCTTTGATATTAATTTCCGGTCTCTCATCACAAAATCCCACTAAGCATTTGTAGTGGTTACAAATAATCACATTTCACATAACCATATCACATAGTTTTTTCTATTACATAGGTTCATTCTTTCTTTAACTCTTTATATTAATGAAGTTTAGAGCTTTATAAAAAAGAAAAACACTTTAGGTATTGTTACAGTTATCTAGACTGGGTAGATTCCATTTACTCTTTCAGTTAAGACTGGAACCAGAGCGAGAAAAAAAAACAGTGGAACTCCTTTAGAGAAACTGACTCAATAAAAATGACTTACATGCCTTGCTGTGCTCTGATCAACTAACAATTGCTTATTAATATTTATATCATAGATAGATGTCAACATGGCTATGATTTTATATTACATTTGCATGAAGTAGACTTGTTTTCGTTAGTAACATTATTTCTACTTCTTAATGACAATAAAAATTTAGTATTTTCAGAGCGTTCACAAAAAGCTCTATGAAAACTTCATTAACATATAAATGAAACAAATTTTACTTGTCTTGGAAAAGAACACTGTGTTGTTGTTAGGTGCCACTGAGTCAGTTGTGACTCATAGTGACCCCATGCTCAATAGAAAGAAACACTATCCTGTCCTGGGCTATCCTCACAATCGTTGCTATGTTGGAGCCCATTAAGGCAGCCGCTGTGTCAACCCATCTCGTCAAGGGTCGTCTTTTTTTTTTTGGCCCTCTCCTTTACCAACCATGTTGTCCTTCTCCAGGGACTAAGCCCTCCTGATAACAAATCCCAAGTACGTAAGATGAACTCTCGCCATCCTCGTTTCTAAAGAGCATTCTGGTTCTCAGTTTGTTCTTTAAGCAGTCCATGGTATATTCAATACTCTTTGCCAACACCATAATTCAAAGGCATTAATTCTTCTTCGGTCTTCCTTATTCATTGTCCAGCTTTCATATGCATATGAGGCGACTGAAAATACCATAGCTTGGGTCAGGCAAATCTTAGTCATCAAAGTAACATCCTTGCTTTTTAACACTTTTTAAAGAGGTCTTCTGCAGCAGATTTGCCCGGCACAATACATCATTTGATTTCTTCACTGCTGCTTCCATGGGCATTGATTGTGGATCCAAGTAAAATGAAATCCTTGACAACTTTTATATTTTCTCCCTGTATCATGTTATTGCTTATTGTCTAGTTGTATGGATTTTTGTTTTCTTTATGTTCAGATGTAATCCATACTGAAGGATGTAGTCTTTGATCTTCATCCATAAGTGCTTCAACTCCTTTTTGCTTTCAGCAAGCAAGGTTGTGTCATCTGCATAATGCAGGTTGTTAATGTCTTCCTCCAATCCTGATGCCACATTCTTCTTTATATAGTCCAGTTTATCGGATTATTTGCTTAGCATACTTATTGAGTAAGTATGGTAAAAGGATACAACCTTGACACACATCTTTCCTGATTTTAAACAACACAGTATCTCTGTTTTGTTTGAACGACTGCCTCTTGGTCTATGTACAGGTTCCACATGAGCACAATTAAGTGTTCTGGAATTCCTAATTCTTCATAATGTTATCCATAATTTGTTATGATCCACACAGTTGAATGCCTTTGCATAGTCAATAAAACACAGGTAAGCATCTTTCTGGTATTTCCCTGCTTCCAGCCAAGATTCATCTGACATCAACAATGACATCCCTCGTTCCACGTCCTCTTCTGAATCTGGCTTTGAATCTCTGGCAGCCCTCCATCCATGTAATGCTGCAACCGTTTTGAATTATCTTCAGCAAAATTTTACTTCCATATCGTATTTCTGATATTGTTCAATAATTTCTGCATTCTGTTGGATCACTTCTTTGGAATGGGGACAAATATGGATCTCTTCCAGCCGGTTGGAAAGGAAGACCTCTTCCAAATTTCTTGGGATAGACAAGTTAGCATTTCCAGCATTGCATCTATCTGCTAAAACATCTCAGTTGGTATTCCGTCAATTCCCGGAGTCTTGTTTTTTGCCAATGTCGTCAGTGCAGCTTGGACTCAGTACCATTGGTTCTTGATCATATGCTACCTCCTGAAATGGCTGAACACTGACCAATTCTTTTTGGTACAGTGACTCTGTGTATTTCTTCCATCTTCTCTTGATGCTTCCTGTGTCATTCAATATCTACCCATAGAATCCTTCAACATTGCAACTCGAGGCTTGAATTTTTTCTTCAGTTCTTCCAGCTTGAGAAATACTAACCATCTTCTTCCCTTTAAATTTTCTAACTTCAGGTCCTTGCATATTTCATTATAATACTTTGTCTTCTCAAGCCACCCTTTGAAATCTTCTGTTCAGCTCTTTTACTTCATCATTTCTTCCTTTCACTTTAGCTACTCTACATTTAAGAGCAAGTTTCAGAGTTTCTTTGGACATCTATTTTGGTCTTTTCTTTCTTCCCTATCTTTTTAATGAACTTTCGCTTTCTTCATGTATGATGTTCCTGATGTCATCCCACAACTCATCTGGTCTTCAGTCCTTAGAGTTCAACGCGTTAAACCTATTCTTGAGATGGTCTCTAAATTCAGGTGGGATATACTCAAGGTCATGCTTTGGTTTTTGTAGACGTGTTCTAATTTTCTTCAGCTTCAACTTGAACCTGCATATGAGCAATTGATGGTTTATTCCGTAGTCAGTCCCTGGCCTTGCTCTGACTGATGATACTGAGCTTCTCCATTGTCTCCTTCCACAGATGTAGTCAATTTTATTCCTGTGTATTCCATCTGTCGAGGTCCACATGTACAGTTGCCACTTACGTTGTTGAAAAAAAGGTGTTTCCAATGAATAGGTCATTGGTCTTGCAAAATTCTATCATGTAATCTCTGGTGTCGTTTCAATCACCAAGCCATGTTTTCCAACTACTGATTCCTCTTTTTTTCCAACTTTTGCAATCCAATCACCAGTAATTATCAATGCATCTTGATTGCATGTTTGATCAATTTCAGACTATAGAAGTTGGTAAAAATCTTCAATTTCTTCTTCTTTGGCATAAGTGGTTGGTGCATAGATTTGAATAACAGTCATATTAACTGACTTCCTTCTAGGTGTATGGATATTATCCTATCAGTGACATGTTGTACTTCAGGATAGATCTTGAAATGTTCTTTTTGATGAATGCGATGCCATTCGTCTTCTATTTGTCATTCTCAGCATAGTAGTCCATATGATTGTCTGATTCAAAATGGCCAATACCAGTCCATTTCAGTTCACTAATGCCTAGGATATTGCTCTTCAAGTGTTCCATTTCATTTTTGATGACTTCCAATTTTCCTAGATTCTTCGTATATTCCACATTCCAATTATTAATGGATGTCTGCAGCTGTTTCCTCTCATTTTGAGTTGTGCCACATCAGCAAATTAAGGTTCTGAAAGCTTGACTCCATCCACATCATTAAGGATGACTCTACTTTGTGGAGGTAGCTCTTCCCTAGTCATATTTTGAGTGCATTCCAGCTTGAGGGGCTCATCTTCCAGCACTGTATTAGAAAATGTTCTGCTTCTACTGACAAGGTTTTCACTGCCAATTTTTTCAGCAATAGATCACCAGGTCCTTCTTCCTCATCTGTCTTAGTCTGGAAGCTCCACTGAAATTTGTCTACCATGAGTGACCCTGCTGGTATTTGAAATACCGGTGGCATAGCTTCCAGCATCACAGCAACAAGCCACCACAGTACGACAAAATGACAGATGAGTGGTGGGAAAAAAAAATAATAACATACTTCTATATAATGAACAGGTTGACACATTGGGCAGCAATTACATTCATTCCAATATAAACTCTTAATGAAGGCAAATTATTTTTTTTAATTCACATATAACGTGACCTCCTTTCTCAATAGGTGAGGATAACACTTTATGATGTTATTAATTTCACTCTCTGAGATCCTTTAACACTTCTTTGTAAGAATTAACTGTATTTCTAGTATTTACTTAATAAAATAGGCTCAATCCTGCCACTTTTAACTAAATACTCCTATATATAAAAGCCCAATGCCCATACAAAAAAAAAAATCAAGCTTAACTTCTCTGACTGTTAGTAAGACTTTAACGAAATATAAGAGGATTTAAACTTCATAACTTCAAAATAAATGTTTATATACAATTTGTAATGAAAAATAACAATTTACTTTGCTAAGCAATAATAAAACATGCTTTTAAATACAGTATTAAACTTAAATACCTTTACTTGGCATTCTATGAACTGTCTATTAGCTGGCACTTTTACATGGGTTACTACATATTTGATGTTATTAATAACTAAAACCCTTTTAAATTTTTCAAAAAAATTTTCAAAATATTTTCTGAATAAAAAAAATTAAACTGTTTAATGTCATGTGTATTCTGTTTATTTTAAAACCAGTCATCAGGTTTGGCATACAAGGTGACTGTCAAAAAATACTTTCAATTCATTAGACAGTAATCAGTTCCCTATTAAGAAGTTATGACAACCTGTTCACGGTAGGAAAAAAAGAAAAAGAAAACTTAGCCTCTTTTAACATTTAAATATCTTAACTTACAGTCAAATTATCTTGTCATATGTCCTGGTCTTTTACCTTAAATATGTAAGTAGAACTTAGCAATTAAAATCTATGTTTTGTTCATTTTGAAATATAAACAAAATCCCTGGATAAAAACAGCACAATTTTATAAATATAAGTACACATTAAAAAGTAGTACTTAAAGTATTAAAATGTTCATTATGTATTTGAAGACGGTAACTTCTGTGATATGTAAAATAATCTTTAAAAAATTACAAATAGTAAAAAATAAAATGCAGATTTCAATTCTTTCCAATTTAAAATCTAAACCAGTAAGAAACTATATCTTACCTGTAAGCAATCTCTATGAAACCAAGCATTCTTACAACAAGGACTTCGTAATATGTTGTAAGTTGGAATAGGCTCAATAAATTCCAAGCAAATGGTACATGGTAAGGAGTCTCTATAATTATTAGGTGGAATAATTTGAACAGGTCGATGGTTCCAACAAAATGACCTAAAAATGAAAATGATTTAAAAACAACGTCTAATGAATTACAAAGCACAACCAGGCTGAAGAATTTTCAATTCATATAGGTAAGAGAAACATTCACTCATATCTCTCTCGTAATTGGTCTGCAGTAGACTGGAGCCTTATTACTAATAAATTAAGCTCACAATTCAGGATCAAGGAGAACTGGACCTTCAAAATGGGAACTTTGTAGTGGTGAGACTTACGTCATATAGAATTTCAATAACACAGTATTATGTTCAGAATCCTGTGTAATATTGTTAGCAACTGAGTGCACATACTACTGTATTCAAGGCTGTATAAAATTAAAGAAGATGAGAACTTACATTTATAAAATATATTATTCATATAATAAAATGCAAGTAAGTATCTCCTTCTAATATACTAAATCAATTTCAATTATTACATGGTACCAATCCATCTGTGTGTCAAGAACACAAAGACTAAAAGAAAAAGAACGCTAATGATACCCAAAAGCCAAAATTGAAAAAATCCTGATGTTTAAAGCTGGACTCTGGTAGCAAATATTTTCAGGGGCATCCCAGGGGCACAATATTTATCTTTTGGGCTCAATCAAATTCACATGCCTTCAATTTACTCAGTAGGAAATATACAGGCCCTCTGAAAGAAAAGTGTACTACTAATTCTAAAGAGTGACATAAAAATCTAGATTTATATAAGGTGTAAACTTTCACTGAACATGAATGAATTAACAGTTTCATGTTATATCCTAGAGCTGAAAGCGGAAGGTAAATATTAATCATTAGGTCCATTCCAGACATGGCACTTCTAAAGACTTGGCAGACAGAAATAACTACATAAAGTAAAGAATGTACTAACGAACATACTCCTAATTTACTAAATGCAAATTATTTCCATTTGCATTGTAGACATGTGTGTATGTATAAACTCAGTGCACCTTTAAAAAGAAATTTCATAAGGGAATTATATCATCATAATATCCATTTTCCACTGTTCCTCAACATTCACTCATGTTTCATATTCAACAATAACTCACTCAAAATTGCCAGTAAATTGGAAAATACATTCTCTCTGAAGTCCACATGGATAATGATAACTTCGTTTACATCGAGGTGCAACACATCCAATAGAAGCACCATTTTTCTTGCAAATACAGCATTTCTAGAAAAAATATGAAAATAGAGGTGAAGTGATGAATAAGTTGGAATAAGAATAAGGAAAGTAGTAAAGTCAGTATTGTCACGTGGGTCAGTGAAGTTCTCTTTCATTTTAAAAATATAAAATGTTCTTCTAAAGCTTAGCATATTTGATAAAAATAAGCACTGAAACATAAAATCAAAGTCTTATAAATTTCTAGTAGAGAAGCCGATAGAAAAGACTTCCCGAGTATTGACTGTATTTATGGTTTTCAGTTTAACAAGTAAAATTTCCTTACCAGTTTAGAAGCTCTATTCACTTCCTTCCTGATGTCTTCTATTAGAAAACCATAAACTCCTTCTTCTTCTTTCCCCCTCTGCCAAATTCCACTTGACATCAACTATGAACATATTCTCAATTAGAAAATAAACTCTAAGAAACTAGTTTGGAATAAAAATATATACCTATGATAATCATTCTAAGGAAAAAAAAAGACATAAAACAACTCAAATTTCAAGCACCTCTTATCTATAATAGTTATTTTTCATGGTCAAAGTAAATGGATACACATATCCTTTGATTTGGAAGACACTGTATATTAACATTTCATATAGTCAAACTGGTATCTAAAAGTATTCCAAGAAGTAAGAGAGAAAGAAAGGAAGGAAGAAAAGGGAAAAGAAAGGCAGGATGGACACCTGTAATTAAGCTTTAGAAAAAAGGAGTGGTAAATACAGAAAGGCATAAATGTAATAATAAACTACTATGGAGATCATTCAGATTATTACTGATATTTTATGCTAACTTTGAATCTAGCTGGATTCATAATCGAAAAGGCATATTTTACAGGGAAATCTACTGAATTATACTTAGCATAAATGTTTCATTCATGTTAATCTGATTTTAACTTCATTGTTTAAATATGTCAAAAGAGCATGAATCAAGGGGAAAAAAAAAGTATGGGACTGTGAATAACAGATCCTGGCCTGGAGACCAGGCTCTATGCCTAACCCCAGGCAAGTAATACATCACTGACCTTAAACATGAAAATATGAGCATTGAACTAGATTGTCACTAAGTCTGTTTCAGTCCTAGCATGCTATTACAATTTATAACACTCTACTATACTTTCCTATTCATAATGAAATAGAATTTTAAAGGGGTGAGACTGAGATCAGTTTTTTTTTTTTTAATGTATCATATTCAGTAATAAAATAAGCCATAACATAGTATAAATTTGGGTATGATCAACTTAAACATATTAATTCAAAAATATATCCACAGAGAAAATTTGTGATTAAAGAGGTTTAATTGTAGTCAGTGTAATATATCCCAAAGAAACACAAAAGTGATACAAATTACTTGAAAATTAGCTGTGAAAAAATAACCTGCTGACTAAAAAGACATCTCTAATTCTACCGCATAAAAAGTAAAATAAACCTAGAAACCTAGAAAAATGGAAGTATTTTCTTTTGTACTATAAAATATAATAAACCCAACGTACATACATATTTGAAATGCCAACTTCATGTTCCCTTCAAGTCATATTACAAAGTGATTAAGTTCCTAAACCAGGATACACATCTATTTAACTCATAAGGTACCTGAAGCACAAAACCTTAGTCTTGGAGAACTACCAAGAAATGCTTTGGATGGTTTCTCAAAGAAGCATCTACTGTTTTAACATGAATGCCATGGTAGGTTTACAAATATGTTCATAAATTTGTTGATGTTCCTTCAGGAGGTGGAGCCTAAACTCCTCCCCTTGAGTGTAGGCTAGACTTAAGGAGTGACTTTGAAGACTAAGTCTAAGATTCCATCTTGGAGTGTGTGTGTGTGTGTGTGTGTGTGTGCGCGCACGCACGTGTGTGTCCATCTCTGATCACTTGTTCCAGGGAAGCCAGCTGCCATGCTATATGAGCAGCCCAATGGAGAGGTCCATGATGTAAGGAACCAAGGCTTCTCGTCAATAGCGAGGAAGAACTGAGGTTAAAAGTCATATGAGTGAGTCATCTTAGATGTAGATCCTCCAGGCTAGTCAAGGCTTCAGATGACTGCACCATAGCTGACATCTCAATTATAACCTCATGAAACCCTGAGCCAGAAACTGTGTGAAATAAAAACTATCTGTTGTTTTAAACTGTTATGTTTAAGGATAATTTGTTAAACAACAAAGCATAACTAATAGAGATGCCAAGAAATACTGCCTGTATGAATGTAACCTTGGCACCGATATCTTGAGGCACAAACTCAAAGAGAATTTGGAAGAATGATGGGAGGGCAAACAAACGAGAGGCTAATTCTCAGTCCGAATCACTCTTTTTCTTTGTTCGGAGTGACCCATTAACTAACCTGTTTCCCCTTCCACAAATATTTATTACCTTTAGCCTGAATTTTTCTTTCTTGATTCTCTGTGAAATAAAATGCTTTTCTTCTAATCTCAACCTTCAAACAAGTCTTTTCTGAGATTTATCACCAGACAACAAAGGAAACAAAGTTGGAAAATGTACAACTCCTATACCTAACCATCCTTCCACTTGCATGGACACGTAATGATGAGAAGTACGTTCTGAATAATTTCAGAATCTTATAATTTGTTATTTAAAAGATCTCATTTTCACGTATAGGCAAAATAAGATCTAGAAAAGTTAAATGACTTATGCAATTCTGAAAAATCAGTGTCAAAATATAATTCTTTTCTTCAGAAGAATGTCAAATTTCTAGAATTTGTTTATAAAGTATACTCACCAAACAATAGTAATGTACAGTGAGCTTCCATTTCTCATTAGTTTTCTTTTCTCCATATTTATTAGGGCAGTCATCATTTTTTCGACAGAAAACACAAGCTAACAGTAAAAAAAGTAAATAGATATAAAAAAATAAATTTCAAAAAACATATAGAACTGGCCCTTCTCTCAATTGATGTGTAACTTCTTTCAGAGAGAGCCAATCACATTATACTGCTAAGAAAAATTTTTAAAATTTCCAATACCTACTTCTAAAACATCAACGTGACATTTTTTCATCAATCTTCAATGATAAATTCTAGTGTGCAATTAAAACGGTAATTTATAGGGTGATGTCACTGAAAACGGCGGAGTAGGAAACTCCAATAAAACTTGATAGAGATAACTCTACTAAGGCAACAATTAAACTGGAAAACTGTCAGAAGTAACTTCTTCAAAACTCTGAAATTTAAAAAAAACAAAACAGAGAACCACCAGGGAAATGCTTAGGGAAGAAAGAAGCTGGTAAATTTTAGTAAGAAACTGTTGTGGCATTTTAACTTATTTGCCTACCTCCATCTATTCCTCAGCTTGACTGAGGCCAGTGGCAGCCCATTCTTTTGGTGTGCTTGCTGATCCAAGAGGGGGCAATAAGGACCTTGTTCTCAAAGTATCGTGATTGTGTGATTGTGTGTTTTGATCTGTCTGATGGTTCCCTTAGGGTATCAGATCAGAGGCTTGCCTTTGTTTCACCTGAAGCAGGATTTTTTCAGGGTTGGAGCAGTGAAAGCATTTTAAGATAACCATACTAGCTGCAGCTGCCTGGGACAATAAATTAACAGGCAGGGCAAGTAGCAGACAACTGAAAAGTCTAGGAAAGAAGATGCGAGGGAAGGTGATACATGGAGAAACAAGGGCATTGGCACATGCCCAGGGCAGGAAGCATGCTCACAAAATAAAAGAGAAGATCTAAAGCTTATGCCTCTCACTGACCTTTAGGCTTGTGCAAGCAGAAAGTGAAAGCTAAGGCCAAGTTAAACCAGCCTGCTTTAAGTAATGCCCTAACACTGAATCAATGTACAAAGACCAGGAGAGTTATTTATATTTATGTTTTTGTTTCGGTTTTTTTTTTTTAAATTGGCTCCAAGAGTTTAAGAAAACTGTTAAAACACTGACACTAAGCTAACGGAATACAGACTTCAAAAGTCACATGATAGTGATTACAGATGCTACAAAAGTAGTTTAGAAAAGTGACTAAACAAGCAAACAACTACAACCCACAACAAGCAACAACGACAAACCACTGGGACAGGGAGAATCTGATTTCCAGAGTTGCCACATTATAATATTCAAAGTGTTCAGTTTTTAACAAAAAATTACGAGGCATGCAAAGAAATAAGGAAACATGCTCACTCACAGGAAGAAAAGCAGTAAAAAGAAAATTTCAGTAAAGCTATAACATATACAATTTTGCGACAGCAGAAAAAAAAACCAAAAAATACGTACGTGGTTACATAGATAGATATGGATGCATATATGTGTATAGGAAGGCATATGTGAGTAAAAGCATGCACAAGTATAGGTGTATCTGTAGGTATACGTATATACATGTTTCTGCGTGCTGTGTCTATAACAACCCACATGGAGGCACAGGTGCGGAGGCTTCCTAGACATATCCAAACAACTCACAGGACTGGATTATTGGGTTAAAAGGCTTGGGACCATAGTTTCAGGGAAAACCCAGTCAACTGGTATAACATAATTCACAAAGATAATGTTCTACATCCTAGTTTTGTGAGTAGCATTAAGGATCTTAAAAGCTTGCAAGTGGCCATCTAAGATACAACTACTGGTCTCTGCTCATCTGGAGCAAAAGAAAATGAAGGAAATAAATGACTCAAAGAAGAAACTAGTCCATAGGACCAAAAGCCCACATAAACCATGGCCTATTCTAGCCTGAGACCAGAAGAACTAGATAGTGCTCAGCTACCACTACTAACCATTCTGACCAGGAACACAATAGAAGGTCCCGGATAGAATACAAGAAAAATGTAGAACAAAATTCAAATCTCTAAAAAAGGCCACACTTACTGGACTGATAGAGACTAGAGGAATCCCCAAGACTATCACCCTAAGATACTCTCTGAACTTGGAATTGAAGCTATTACTGAAGATCACTTTTCAGTCAAATAACAGATTAGCTTATAAAATAAATATCACCTGTGAGTAATGTGCCCCCTTAAACAATTAACTATATGAGACCAAACAGTCAACATTTACCCAAAAGCAAAGATGAGAAGGCAAGGAGGGGAAGGGAAGCTAGATTAATGGAAACAGAACAAACAGAATGGAGATAATGAGAATGCTAATACATTGTAAAAATTGTAACCAATGGCACGGAACAATATGTAGAAAAAGTGTTAAAGGGGAACCTGATTTGCTCTGTAAAGTTTCACCTAAAACACATTATAAAAAAAGAAACTGTCCCTAAGGAAATCTGAGTACTGCGACCATTAGACAAAAATATGCTCAAAGAGCTAATTAAAAGAAACCAGGAGAACGACATCTTAAGTAATAGAGAATACCAATAAAGTGATAGAAATTATAAAAAGAAACCAAGCAAACTCTGGAGCTGAAAGGTACAGTAACTAAAGTGAAAAATACATCAGAGAGCTTCAACAACAGATATGAGCAGGTAGAAGAATGAATTGGTGAACTTGAAGATAGGTCAATTGAGATAATCCAGTCTGAAAAGCAGAAAGAGGAAAAGAATCAAAAATAAACAGAGCTTAAGAGATCTATGGGACACCATCAGGTGCACCAACATCCACATAATAGCAGTCCCAAAAGAAAAAGAAAGAGGGAGAAAAAATATTTGAAGAAATAATGGCCAAAAACTTCCCAAATTTGATGAAAGACATGAATCTACATATCCAAGAAACTCAAAAAAACACCAAGTAGGACAAACTTTAAGAGATCCACATGATGTCCTAGTATAGGATATAGTATAATATAATCAAACTGATGAAAGCCAAATACAAAGAATCTCAAAGGCAGCGAAAGAGAAGCAACTCATTATGCTAAAGGGATCCACAATAAAATTAAAAACCAATTTCCCATCAGAATCTATAAACTCTTAGAAGAAAACATAGGAGTAAATCTTTATGACATTGGATTTAGCAGTGGTTTCTTAGATATGACACCAAGAGCACAAGCAACAAAATAAAAACTAGGTAAGTTGAACTTCATTAAAAATTAGTTTCCATATATTGAAACACCCTTGCATAAAAGGATACTACCAAGAAAGTGAAAACACAACCCACAGAATGCGAGGAAATACCTGCAAATCATATACTTGCTAAGGGTCTAGTATCCAGAACACATAAAGAACTTTACAGCTCAACAACAAAAAGACAAACAACACAAGAAATGGGCAAAGGATTTGAATAGATATTTCTCCAAAGAAGATATATAAGTAACCAATAAGCACATGAAAAGATGGGAAATGCAAATGAAAACCACCGTGAGTCACCACCTCACTAACCAAAACCACACTCATTGCCATCAAGTCGATTCTGACTCATAGCAATCCTATAGGTCAGAGCAAAACTGCCCCACAGGGTTTCCAAGGCTATAAATCTTTACAGGAGCAGACAGCCCCATCTTTCTCCCATGGAGTGGCTGGTGGGTTCAAATCACTGACACTTTGGTTAGCAGCTGAGTGCTTAACCACTGCCACCAGGGATCCTCCACCTCCACTAGGATAGCTATAATCAAAAAGTTTTGGGGAGGGTGTGAAGAAACCGGAACCCTCATGTATTATTCATGGGAATGAAAAAATGGTGTAGCGGCTGTGGAAAAAAGTTTGGTGGTTCTTCAATGTGTTAAACATAGAACTACTATATGACTCAAGCCATGGTCTTTTCAATCACCTCATATGCATGCAAAAGCTAGACAATAAAAAGGAAGACCGAAGAAGAACCGACACATTTGAATTATGGTGTTGCCGAAGAATACTGAATATACCATGGATTTCCAGAAAAATGAACAAATCTGTCTTGAAAGAAGTACAGTCAGAATGCTCCTTAGAAGTGAGAATGGTGAGACTTTGTCTCTCTTGCTTTGGGTATGTTATCAGGAGGGACCAATCCATGGAGAAGGACATCATGCTTGGTAAAGTAGAGTGTCAGCAAAAAAGAGGAAGACCCTCAACAAGATGGACTGACACAATGGCTACAACAATGGGCTCAAACACACCTGCTATTGTGACGATGGCAGAGGACCAAGCAATGTTTCATTCTGTTATACACAGGGTTGCTATGAGTTGGAACCAACTTGACAGCGCCTGAAAACACCATCACTATATGACCCAGCAATTCCATTCCTGGGTATATACCCAAAAGAACTGAAAACAGGTGTTCACACAAAAACTTGTATACAAATGTTCGTATCAGCACTATTCACAATAGCCAAAAGGCAAAAACAACCCCAAATGTCCAACTATGACTGCATACACAAAATGCGGTATAGCTGTACAATGGAATATTATTCAGTCATAAAAAGGAATGCAGGACTAACATATGCTACAACATGGATGAACTTTGGAAGCATTATGTTAATTGAAAGAAACAAGACACAAAAAAATCACATACTGTATGATTCCATTTATATGAAATATCCAGAGCAGGCAAACCCATAGAGACAGAAAGCAGATTAGTGGTTGCCACGGGCTAGAAAGTAGAGTGAATGGGAATGACTGCCCAATAGGTATGGTGTTACCTTTTGGGGTCATGAAAATATTTTGGAAGTAGATAGTGGTGATGGTTGCACAGTAAATATACTAAATGCCACTGAATTATATATTACTTTAATTCAGTTAAAATAATAAATTTTACGTTATGTTTATTTCACACAATATAAAAAAAGGCAACTTGTGGAGTTAGAGAGAGCTAAGTTAGAAACTCAACTACACATTCTAGCTTCAGAACCTTGAATGGGTCACATAATCACTTTTATGTCTCTATTTCCTCACCTTAAAAATGAGGATAACAGCAATACCTATCTCAAGCTATGCTGTAATCAGGATTAAATGAGAATATATATAAATATCAGAGTGTGGTACATTAAATGTTATTGATTATAGTTACTAATTTTCTGTTTTATCTAACTTCTACATAAGATTTCTAATAATATTTTAAAGAAAGAAGTGGAAATTCATTAGCTGAAGAGAGAAGATTTAAGGTGGGCAGATTCATACAAAATAGAAGGAACCTGAATCTCTAAATAACTGCGTGAAGCAGACAGAGACTCCCCATCTGTCCCACCTCCCACAACAAACCCATACTGGACTGTGACATGAACAAGTAACAAACTAAGATTTCAGGTTTTACCCATTACAGTAGCTAGTGTTGTTTACCCTAACTAATACATAAAATTAAGAATGGATGCTTTGGGTTGAAAAGGTATTGTATTTGTTAGCAGGCCTCTCACAAAACAGATTCCAAAACTGGACAGAAACAGTATGACCTTAATTTAATACTGTGAAATAGTCTCACTACATTGTCCTTCCTCACTCCAGTTTAATGAGATAAACTACTAACTGAAAGCCTCTCTCAATCCTTTAAAAAAGTTTCTGCCCCCCTTCCTTTGACACACAAAAAACTGCCCACATTAACTCCTGCAAATTGCTGTTTGTTCATATTGAACATTGTACACTAGCAGCTCCCATCTTAACTCCTTCATCTCCAGTACCTATACCTATTAGCCTTGAGTTTATATGTAGCCATCAAGAGGAAGGGAGATAGATGGAATTAGCTGAGACTACAGAAGAGGAGTCCCCATGATAAACCCTGAATGGAGTTAGATCTGCTATATATTGTGGGCCTGCTGCTTTCCATTTCCTCACCTCCTTCCTTTCCTTTCTTTACGTAATATCGAGGCCCTGGATGCAGGATGGACTAATTTTTATAATTAAACTACTTTTGTTTTTATTTGTACTCTGCTGATCTTTAAGTTTTAAAATTCAATAAAATTGTTCTGATTTTATTGTTATTTACTGTCAAGATTAACTTCTACTTATAGAATGATACTGGTTTCTATTAGGACAATGAAATAAAGTTTCCTCCTTAAACACATTCATGTAAGCAAAAAATTGAATCAATCCTAGGAAAATTAAGCAAATAATAGTATATGTGGTATTTGCATTTGGCAAAAGCTTAAAGGTAGTCCACAAATTCTGAAGTTTCAGAACTGTTAGCATAGCTGATAGAAGTACAGCAGTAGAAGCAGGAAAAGAAAGTAGAGGGAGATTTAGGAGCACAAATTTCCTTATGCAACATAACGTGGATCAACAGATACTCTCTAAAACTGGGACAAGTGTAATACTTTAGAGATAATAAAAAAAAAAATCTTAAAAACGGAAGATAAGGGAGAAGTAGTGGCAGAACAGTATAAAGAAACTAAATGTAAATTCTTCATCTTTCAGGATAGCAAGTCAATTGATACCTCTGTAACTACTTAAGTGAAGAAAAAAAGATCAACTAAAAGCAAAAGTCAACGGTAACTATTTGAGGAGATGGTCATGAGCAGACAGAGGAAAAGTAATCTTTTTCATGTTAAACTTTTGTTTATTTGAATTGTTTTAACCTACATCTTCCCTTTTATATAAAAGTCATGAAAAATAAAAAAGTGAAAAATTATTAATGTTTCATTCAGATACAAATAGTATCTGATAAACACATACAC